TCTGCCGATCCTCGAGCAGTCTGTACTTAGACTTTTCAGGCTGTATACCCTCTAGTAGTTCAACTGAACCTTAAGCACTATAATTAAAGCTGAAAGATGGCTAATAGTCGTAAACATAAATGAAAACGTACAAATTACCAGGAAGATCGAACAGCTCGACCTCTTCTAGCTTAAAGCTCATTTTCAAAGTTCAATGGTAGTATGGGAAACGAAAATGATAGAAATAACAAAAAAGATGAATGATTGTCACTCGCATTGTCGAAATGGTTTTCATTAGTGTAGAAATAAGGTTTTTAATCATCCCATACACTGAGATGCGATTGTCGAGTACTTAAAAAGTTATTTATCTTGTGCAGTATTTCATCATTGAGAACTCTTATCGAATCACTTTTATCATTATCAATTTATCCAAGTGAGGACAAATTGTATTTCCGTTCCCAATTTTGACATTGCACCAGGTAACCAGCGGAAATAGTCGCAAATTATTATCGAAACAATGGTAATCTACGATGAATTAAGTGTCTCGTTATCTGTCGTTTTGCCAACTAACATCATAAATGCAGTTTTCTACGACAAATACAGCACTCCATCACCCTACACATTTCAGAAGTTGCTGCCCACTGTGATGAAAGAAAACCTTTGTGTTTAGCTCACCATTTTATTTGTTAGATGCTGAGTAGTTTTTCCGTGATGTTTATGAACTTTAATGTTGTATCAGACCAAAGCATAGAATCAAAGACATCGAAGAATAAAGTAGGCAATGAGTTGATTTTTGCTCATACGCACCAAGATTGCTGACGTGGTTCTGTTACTTCCTTAAATGGACGCTAATCGTTTCAAGACAAGAATCTGCTTGAGTTTGTTGTCTTGTCATACATGGTGGCTATGCTGAGGGATGTTGATCGGGAATACCCACTATTCGCTTGGTGAATTGCTCTCTTTCCCAGATATATATGAACTCGAATCTCATTATTGGTTTTCGCCTTTCCTAGCTGAGTTTTATTCGATCTAACTATAAATTTGCCTCAGTATTTGTTCGCAAACGCACATTCTCCTCTCTGCTTCAAATTAGTTCACTGTGCTGATAACTTTGTCTTCTGTGCTATCCCCTAATAAAATATAGTTGCCGCTTCTTATAGCGTTCTGATTTCAAACACCACTCAGATTTAAACAACAACGGTTACAACGATGATCGATTAACGAAGCAGAGTTATTGCAGTAACTTCAATTCATTAGTTCTCAGAAAGAGGATTCCTAATTCATATGATTATCCCATTTCCAGATTCACCATTTTTGTTACATGAAAACGTCGATAAAATGAAAATTTCCCAACACCTTTAGCTATTAAGGCCAGCATTTCTAGTGCAGAACTACAGTGTAGTATCGATCTAAGCGTATAGCTTCCATGAAATTCCGAAGAGGAAAAGTTGAGTGTTTTAGGAGCATTGAAGCAGTTTAGAAATACTGAATATCCATTGCGATTTCGGTGGGGTGAGGATAAACTTCACTCTTGTTTGCAATTAGGACCTGGCGGCCAACCAATGTGAATTGGGGCATTCTTATAAAAACTATCATAATCCATGGTGAAGGGTTTGTTTCGCTATCTAATGTTTTTGCTGGCCTAAGTGAAAAATATAGGGTTTTCTACCGTGAATTTACCATTCCATCTAAATTCCCTGATAAGGCCAAGAATGGGGAGAGTCTGTCCCCCCCTCTCCAAATGCTCTTACATGGCCATGCGTATATAGCCTCTGACAGGAAAGTCTTCCTAATTCCGTTCTCGTGGCGAGAATGCTGATTACGAAGCTGAGAATGTCTTGCACTTTAACCGGGTTGATGGATATAGAGAGTCCGTCAAGAGGAGTTGGAATAGCTTGATTCAAAATCAATGGTGTATATGAGCTAAAGGATTCTAAGGAAATAAATGGCATATGAGCCTATTGTTGGTCAACGGCCATCTTGTGGCTGCATCCCCTTACGTCGTTCCATTGCCTTGTGGATCACACCCTAAGATCAAAGGCTCGGGGTGTGGTCCCCTAAGGAAATCATCTACTTCGGTCTGGGCACCCGGGCAGCATCACAGCCCTCAGACAAATCAAATGAGACTTGCATGGTGCATATGTATCCGTTGCCTTCTTGTATCAGTATCTATGTGTTCAAATAAAGAAATAATTGAGCCTATGTACGACACAAGTGTGGGGCAGTCAGTCATGATGGAAGAAAAACTACAACTTAGCAAAGTCGTAGTTCCGATTAAACACATGATGGAAATTGCTTCAACATATCTATAATTTATTGACCAAGTAAACAAAAACATAACCGTAATTTCCTACTACGACACACTTGAATTACTTGACAACGTAGAGTTTATCCCAAAACATTTGTTCTTTAGGCTTCTCGTAATTTCGAGTTAAAACTCAGCCTTTTCCATAGCCAATAATTGTGTTCTGTTACCCAGATATAGATTTTCATAGGTTAAAGGTTCATTATTACAGTAAAGAGAGGTATCAAGTTTTGGTGTTTGATTCAAGGGGACTTTAATCTTACTAGAGTCAACTTCGCGGAACACACGTACACTGGAGGCGACAACTCAATTGAAGCTCGGTTCTCCAACCTCATCGATGACTTGGGCTAATATGAAAATGTGAGGTCGGCAACTCGTTGGAGAAACAGTCAGACACCATAGCGCTTAGACTGTGTATTCACCAACGAAGAATTCCTAGTCGACAACCTCTCAATCCTGGCTCCTCTGGGAAAAAGCCATCATGCCGTCATAGCCTTCAGTTTTGTTATCAAAACTAAGCTAAGGTATCCCACCAATAATTCGCGTTGGAATTTTAAACGGCTGAATATGCCAGCTCTACACGACTATCTACAACAGGTGGTTTGGGATGTTCACCCTCAACTCGATGTGGACGGTCATTGGGACTTCTTACTGCACACGCTCTTATGTGCTACAGACCATTCAGTTCCTCAAACGGTTCCCAAAAGCTGCAAGCCACCTACAATAATAAAGAACCACACTATTCGCCTGCTAAGCCGCAAAAGGCACTGTTGGGCGGAATACAAACGAACTGATAACGACGGAGCGTATAGGCAATATAAACATATCAGGAACATATGCACGAAAGCTATAAGAGACAGGCTTCAGCACCAGACAAAGCTTATGGACAAATTTGCCTCTAACCCTAGAAGCCTATTCCGTTATGCGGCCTCTCTTCGTCAAGCCAAAACAGGAGTTTCTCAACTGCTAGGTCTTAACGGCTCGACCAACAACGATGACGAAGCCGCTAACCTTCTGGCGGCACATTACTCTCAGACATTTCAACCGGCTGACATTAACTTTACTGATGACAGTTTCATCTGCGATTCCACAGGACTTTCCGAAGTGGACCTAAGCGCTGACTTGGTGTTCCAGAAATTGCAGCACTTAAGACTAGATACTTCTCCTGGCCCGGATATGGTTCATTCTGCCATACTGAGGGAGGCAGCCTCAATCCTGGCAACGCCGCTTAGCGTGGTGTTTTCACACTCGCTAAGCCGAGGCAAATTACCGGAAAAGTGGAAGTTGGGTCACATCACACCAATTTTCAAAGGAGATCGACGCAATGAACCTTCAAGTTATCGGCCGTTGGCTCTTCTGTCATTACCTTCAAAACTCATGGAGTCCCTGATATGCAACGGTTTAAATGACTATCTACAGTCCTTAAATTTCTTCTCACCCCAACAGCATGGTTTCAGGAAGGGTTACTCTTGTATTACCAACCTGCTGACTGCGGTGGACAGATGGACAAGCATCCTCGATCGCAAGGGAAGGTTGATGTCATTTACCTTGATTTCTCAAAAGCTTTTGATAAGGTTAACCACTTGTGTCTTATCAACATGCTCAAACGACTAGGTATCAAACCACCTCTAATCGATTGGCTTACTTCATACCTAAAAAATTGACACTTTATGGTTACGGTTAATTTCACTAGGACCTCTTCTCTTCTTGATCTATATAAATGACCTTCCTCAACAGGTAACGTCAGACTTATTACTTTTTGCCGACGACGTAAAACTTTGGAGAGAGATGCGCAGCCAAGACGATATACAGGCACTTCAGGAGGATCTGACTCGACTTCAAAGTTGGGCAGACGATAACGGACTTACCTTTAACACTTCAAAGTGTAAAGTAGTTCATCTGCGACATGTCGCAAACTACAGTCACAACTTAGGAAACTCCTCTCTAGTAATATCCCAAGACGAAAAATATTTAGGAGTCCTGGTGCCCCATGACTTAAAGTCTTACGCTAACTGTGACAAAAATGCCTTCCGAGCAAACCTTGCACTGGTAACGTTGAAGCGCATTTTTGGACAGTTTGACGGAAGAACTTTCCATACAATCTTCAATAGTTTCATCCGTCCCCGTTTAGAGTACGGAAACATAGTATTTCCTCCCTCATTCCAAAAGGATAAGGACACCCTGGAGCGTATCCAACGGCGAGCCACGAAATCAGTTCGAGGACTCAAATTTAAACCTTACGAAGAACGCCTTCATTCACTAGACTTTTACCTATAAGAGTATAGACGTCTTAGAGGTGACCTTCTGATGGCTTATAGTATCCTTAACACTTCTGGACATCCTCTCAAACACCTACTTAAGCTTAGTTCGAATAATAATCTAAGGGTTAACACCCAGAAACTGGAAACACAACATAGCAAGACGGAATGTAGACACAACTTCTACTCCTTAAGAGTTGTCAAAAGCTGGAATCTGCTGCCGCTCGAGCTAGTCCAGGCGACTTCTCAGGAGTCCTTCAAGAGGCAACTTGACCTATTCTCAAGGACTAAGGATAGTATTGCACTATGATTTACTAATTTCTTTTCCTGTTTTATTGTTAACATACCTAGATTCCTGCCTGGCGGATCTGGTGATCCCCTGCTACTAGACACGGAAGCCTGTTAAGCGAAAGCTTCTTCTATTCCGTCCACAACCATTTGAACAACTTGAACCATTTGAAGATTTGTGCGATAGTTTAACTGTGAAGGTCGCTGATGAGCCTGTCATTCAGAAGAGTTTTATCAGCAAGTCGTTATTTTCTTCGTTCACAACATACTGAGAGTTAGTTTTTACTACAAAAAATATATTCCTAGATTTCTGTAGGTGTTGTAGCTCACGAAAAATTTAGTGATGTTGAAAATTATCCTGGACACATCACAACCAGTTCCTTACAAAAATGTCTCCTGAGTCTTGGGAGCGGGATTGGCTGTCTGATTAACCCAAGAAGAGCTGGTAACTGAATCTTTCGTCTTCTATCCTTCAGATCTGCTCAGCACATTTGGAGAGACTAGTGGGGAACTCGCCTTGCGCCAAATATTCAATAGAATGCTGAATCATCCTGATGGTTGTCGCATATTACGGTATACATTGCTCTTTTATTGACTTTTAGTGACCGACCAACTATTCGTACTAACACAGTTGATTTAGATAGCCTTCGTAAGCTGCCTGAGGGTACGTTTGGGAAAGCGTATACGAAGTTTCTGGATAAATATGTAGGCTTTAAATTTTGATTGATCATAGCCTCAGGGTTATTCACCTGATGAAAGACACTATGTTAAATTTGTAGATGACCAAGATTTGGCTTACGTCATGCTTCGGTACCGGGAAATACATGATTTGGTTCATACTTTGCTTGGTCAACCTACTGATATGCTTGGTGAAGTCGTTGTTAAATGGGTTGAAGGCATACAAACTCTTCTCCCTATGTGTTTAACTGGTGGTTACTTTGGTTCTCTGCGTCTCGCACCCAAGTTAGTACTTACTATCAATAATACATAAATAAATTTTGCCACTTGTTTGTAACGTTTATGTTATTTACCCGGATACACTTTTAATATACTTTTTTTGTTTATTTCAGACAAACAGAGCGGTTCGTAAAAAGCCATCTAGATTACGCAATTCATACTGGCAGAGAAGCTCGTTTCCTAATGTGTGTTTACTTTGAGGAACATTGGGAAGATAACTTGGAAGATTTCAGGTCATCCTTAAATATTCAGTCGCCGCCAACCCCCAGAAAACTGGATTGAGATGTGTTTCGAAGCACTTTCAATTGTGACTTTGTAAATAGTGTAGTTCGCTCTGTTTTTCGCCAAGCAACTTTTCATTACAAATGTCTTAGAATTTTTAACTAACGTGAAGTATATGTTTGTAGTTAGTTTGCTTGGAATTTGTGTTGCCACAAGATAACATTGTGATAGCTGATTATTTAACCCAATCTGTTTCGTGGTCTTTGGCACTTAATAAAGCTTTAATACTGTATCAACTGGTTTTGACTGTTATGACTTTATAGATGTATAAGTTCCTGGCATCACTTTAGACTTCGTCATGTTTGATCACTAAATTTGTCTTCTTCAGGTTTGTTGTTTTAACAATACAACATTTTAAATCCGGCAGTTGCAACCTTCAGTATCGGGAAATTTTCTCTCAAATCAGTTTCTAAAGTAAAAGGATGATCTTTTTTAGTGACATTATATTGGTGTAATACAACATATTGTAATAGGACACATCGTAATTATCTATCCAGTGGTTTTACCACGACTTCCTACCGGTTTTCAAGAGTCGTACTATAATCCTAAAACCATCTCATAAGCCGGTAACATCTGGTAAAACATAATTCTGTTTAGCCAACATAAAAATTCTTGGTGTGCATTTTGCATCCTATATATATATATATATATATATATATATATATATATATATATATATATATATATAACACATGAGTCCATACTTGCCGTTACTTAAACCCAATATTAATTGAAATGTTAAAACATTATATAATAGCGATGCTTAAAAAGACAATTAAAAGTTCTTAAATAAACTTCAGATAAATGAATCTAATAATTAAAGTCTCCCTTAGGTACAATCCCTACCATACAATTAAGGAGTGTTTTTCTCTCCATCAAATTTAGTTTTGTTAGCTATTATCGTAGCCTCTATTAGTAATCTGTATACTATCATTTTATTCTTGTAGAGAAGTCGACAACTCTAAACTCTTGTTGTAAAACATATCTGTTGTTATACTTTGCTTGTCAACCCAATTACTGAGTAACAAATAAGTTGAATTTTCCATATTCATGTAATAATTTTTTCATTGTTTTAAATATGATTGAAAGGGGACTGTATATGACTTGGTAGCTTTCCTAATTATTCGGTGGTTGGTGGGCAGTGGCTGAGTGGTTAAGGAGTTAAATATTCACTCACTAAGTCCCATGTTTGAAACCCACTCTACTCCGGTTTAGGCGACCGGATTGTGTCACTCATAGATTTTTAAAGTGAAAGCTCACTAGGGTCTGAATAAATGTGAGAGGGCATGTAAGTACTTCACAGTCATTTATGTTGCGAAATGAAGATATCTCTTAGAACTTATTTGGGTCATATAAGGATGAGTCGATACGAACTGGTTTACATAATTTAACAGTCAATCATGTCTTAGTCATAGACATCGTGAAGACTGATGCAAATATGTGTTAGTCAAAATCGACATTCCTCGAATCATAGCAACGATTAAGGAAGTCAAAAAGATGTAAACGATAAGAGACGAAATAAGTGAATACCTGTAACAGTCGAGTATTCGTTGTGGATCGATTTTGTGTTTCTGAATTAGGAAATATTTGGATCTATGTGAACTAGATAGACGACGATTAGTACACAGCACTTCAATGATAATCCTTCACACCACTAGAAGAGAAACAAACCTTGTAAGGATGATGTACTGATTAATATTCCAGTAGAATTAATTTATATTCGAGTCAATGTAATCATGTGACGATTATTGATTGAACATTAATTACATTCCTATCTGAGTGAGCAACACAAAGTCACAGTGGATTAATTCAGTGAGGACGCACTGAATATAAAATAACTTGATGCATTGATCCAAGTGTAAATATATTGACGATTAACGAAACTCAATCCAAGTCAGTGTGTGAGTTTCAAAACATTCTTAAACATAGTATTTGAGGCTTTAGTATCTCCAACAATAATCGAATAGCAAATATAATACGAAAGAACAAGTAGAAAGCATCCAATAGCACTGACCTTAAAATATAAGGTGAAAGTCCTCATAACTTCGGAATTCCATGAATAATATACTGGCTGTTAGTGCTCTTTTGAAGTCTCAGTTGAAAATATTCAACTGGCGATTATCATTTCAACCAGAACTTATGAATTACATCCGGCATTTCCAAACTATTTCTTATTACCAAGATTTGCTGTGCGTCAATACTGAGGGGCTTGTACGGGTCATTCGTATTTAAAAGGCCGAATACCGAAACCACTGAATTAACCAACGACTTTAGACCAGTCCATCACTAAAGTCTAGTTAAACATTATTTAGTTGGTTGAAATTTTCATCAAATCGAATGCTTTATTTATGCTAACGGCTGTAGTATTTATTACATTGGTCGCTTAAACAAAATACTCATGAAAATAAGACTAGTACAAAGAGTAAGAAATTATTTTTAAGAAAGTACTGGTTATAAAGTTAGTTATTGATATACCTGGAATATAACTTGATTATTAATACGAAATATCTACGATGCATGCTGCTGATGAATAGTATCGGTTGAAATTATTAAGTGTAACTATAACTCTAATCTAGCGTCACCTCCATTACATGGCTAACTTCTATTCAGTAACTTCTAAAAGTAACGTTCTATAATCTTATGGTGATTTCTCGATTTTCTACTTTATGTCGATCCAATGAGATTAGTTCCCACGGATATAACATGATTAGATTTCAATATGAAGATCATCGGTAGTTGGTTTTGTGGTGCATATATTAATCATCTAATTAGAATTAACTCAGGGTAAATTTCATTTGAGAGTGAAGTTACGTATTCGAATTACTCATTGGTTTTTTAAATGATATTTAATAGAGGGTGGGAAGAGTCAGTTCTCCCTCTCAAAGTGCTCTCACATGACCATGAATATACATCCACTGCAAAGGAGTTCCTACCCACTCCCTTCTCGTGGAATTACTGTTGATTACGGAATTGAGAAGACGAAAAGCAAATGTCCGGCGCTTTAACTAGGTCGGTGGACACGGAGAGTTCACCTAGCGGAGTTGGAAAACCCTGATTCCGAACCAATGGTCTACATGGGCTCCAAGATAATAATGGAACAATTGGCGTATGAACCAATTGGTGATCACCGGCTACCATGGGACTGCATCTCCTTATGATTCTCCACTGCCTTGTGGAACAGATATTTAGGTCAAAAGCTCCGGGCGTGGCAGTCTATGGAAACCATCTGCTTCGGTTTGGGCACCTGGACAGTGACACAACCCACAAACAAATCATGTGACTTGTGTGGTGCATATCTATTTGGTGTCCCTTTCTACAAATATTTATGTGTCAGTTGAAGCAAGACCATCGTGGAAAACCTGTAAGCACTGGCGGTCTAACTTCAACTGACTCATGATCTTAACCATTGAATTTACTATAATATCCACAAAACCCATCTGATATCAAATATTTATGTGTTCAAATAAATAAATTGACGCATGATAAAATATCTTTAAAACTCTCAACTAATCACCAGAAACCCGTACGAATAACTATTAATTTATACTTTAATTGAAAATTCAGGATTGATTTATAGTGTTTCTCAGTGAATGGCCTTCCTGAAAAACTCTTCACAATATTAATCGCTTATTCATGTTCTACTGAGTCACAATGTGGGAATTTTTCAGTTAATGGACTAAACTACGTATAGTTGATTTAAGTAGTATCATTAAAATAATAAAATAAACGCAGCATTTCAAAATCAGTCGCATACCTGATGAAGTATATTCAAAATAATCTGCTTAATAAATATTTGATAATCATTTATACACCGAGTAAGTGACTTTGAGGATATCAGTGTAAAGAGAACACAGATATAACGCATGCTACTGTAAAGTTGTTTTCGAAAATTAAAAATCCGGAATCGTGTAGTAGTGAAAATTCCAAGAGATCCTCTTTGGTCAGATAAGTGATGTGTGGGCGAGAAAGATAATGATTGATTGTCTGCTTAGTCAGACATGTAGATAGTCTGATAGGTGTCAGATGAGTTATATAGTCCCTTATCCCTATTATTATTACTCACTCACTCACTATTGATTGTTCATTTTTGTTGGATTGTGTCAGGTTTTTGGTGTGGAAATATATCTAAATTAAGGTCAGGCTAATCACGTGTTTTTGGTCATCTGAGTTGTGTTGAAGTCCTGTAGAATAGACACTGGGAGGGGGATCTAATGTAGATATTCGTCTAAGGTAAATTAACGTCCCATACATGTAAACGTGGAAACACAACCGTTATAACATTAGACGAAGTAAAACCGAGCGTTATAACAATAAGTAAGACAACATTATATTTGTTTCCATGTAGGAGCTGTTCCCCTTTCATGTTAATAAGTTTGTTGATGACCGGAAGACAGAAAGTGTCTGGCGATATTAATTATAGGTTACGTTTAAGAGATACCTCTTGTATTGTTTTGTTCAATGTATATCTTCAGTGACCATGCTCTAGTGGTTCTATTTAGTAACCCCACTAGATAAAGAACCACCACAATATCAACTTCTAATGTTTAGTTCTAGGTCTTGCAAAAACGGTTATACGAAATATATGTCCCATCGCTTGTCATGTTTGTAAAGTTATGCTTCAACATACGTTGTCTCTCCTCTCTAATAATGTTAGTGTTAATAACCATTCACAATTTTACAAACTAATTAATTAGATGTCATGAATATGTAGTAAAGTTTGATAATGATCAACAGTGTTCTTTGGTGGTTAAATAATAAGTTATTTAGAAATAGTTTTCATCAGCGATCAACTGCGACGTTCATGAAACAAATAGACGTCTACTTCAAGTCTGTAGGAAATTTGAAATGATTTTCAAAACCATTGACCTACACTATTCTACAGTTTATATAATAATTTTTGCTTTGTAGTTCAAAGTATAAATGAGCAAAACACAGAATGTAAAAGAAAAGTGGAAATGGGTTGCTATTTTTCACTGTCCAAATTGAAAATAGAACTCAGTAACTGTCTCTCTGAATGTTAAAGTGTCACTTAATAGACTATCATTACCTTAACTGTTCTTTCTGATATTGCCAAAATATTTTTTAAAAAAAACAATGAAATTGTGAGTACTACCTTAACCGTTGCATTCAATATAAAAAAGAAGTTAATGATAC